ACGTAGGACAATAGATGATCTAAATTTCAAAATAGCGTCGGATTCACAAAATATATCTCTTCCCAAAGGACTAAAGAAAAGGAGAGAACCTCAAAGAAGGTTGGCCTCGAATTACATCATATTTTTATTTGCTTTAAATAATAGAAACCCCATACACTGAGATTTAGCCTAAAGAAAATAAAACTGTAGACATATTAAATACGTTTTAATATAATATTCACTATTCTCTACTACTTTTTTCTTAGCTAAATTAGTATTCTTTGTACGGTCAACGCAAAAAATAACAACATTTAAAAGGCAAGAAAACTTTTGCGAATAAGTACCATATTTATTAAATGTTACATAATATATACATTTATTTGGAAAATCGAAAACATATAGGAGTAAGGTTATTGAGAACCACTAACCAGTACCTACTAAAATTATTATAAATTACATTATTGCAATTTTCCTGGGGATTTCTAATTTTTTTTTAATTAATTATGGCCCATGCTACTCGCTGGTAATGCAGCTTTTCAAAGGTGAAAGAATTTTAAAATTGGTTCGGTAGTTTTTAGTTTATCCATTACAAACAAATAATCATTTTTTTATCTTTGGTCTACATTAGTATAGATACAGATAAAATAATAATTGCTAGTCTAACTTAGGAGATAGATATGTACTATTGCAAATTTATCCGTAAACTTTTTTTAAACCTTCAATTTTCTAGTAGGTACATTGTTTTGATGTACCTATCTCTTAAAGTTTAGCCAACATTTGCCATATAAATTTCTGAGGACGAATCGATAGAACCAGTTATTGAGTTTTCCCATGGGAATGAAAGAATTTTCTGTAGTAAAAGGTATCCTAAATGTTGACTCTAGTAATAAGTTATCACTACACAAAATTTAGTTAAAATCAGTTCAGTACTTTTTGCGTGAAACGCGCACATCTATTATACGTATAGAATAAGATGCCGAAGTTTATATGTATGTCTGTTTGCTACTCCTTTACGCTGAAACGCTGATGTAATGATGTTGAAAAGCTAAAACTAAAATTTAGTACACGGATGGACTTTGAATTGGAGTAACACATAGACTATAACATAAATGATACCTAGAAACGCACCCAAGGAAAGCAAGTGTAGTTGAACATAATTTCTAAGGATAGTTGAAATTAATACAATTAAATTTTTTTGTTCAGTGGCTCCTATTAGTAACATTTAGGCACGAGAATGAGAAAATAATACAAAACCTAAGCAAATCGTTAAGAACAGATACAATTTTATGTATACAAACTGACAATTATGTTTCATTGTACAGTATTACGTTGTTTGTAAACACAGACAAGGTCGCTGTCGTATACCTTATAAATGAGTAACTACTCTCGTTGAAATAAATTGAGTAAAATCTAGAAAATGGCTTAACCGATTTGGGTGCGGTTTTCACTAATGTACTGTATATAGTCAAGAAGAAAATTTATTTTAAAAGACAATTTGGCGCCTGTAATCCGCCATTTTGATTGATAATTAATTCTACATATATAGCGTAAGACGCTCGCGTTATCAAGACAAGTCTAATGACGCATAAATCTTTAAAATCGGTTAAATCGTTTAGTATTTACAAGGACATAGGATCGGACATATTATGACTTACATACATTCAAGTCAAACACATAACTCTCCTTTGGGCTTCGCTGCATTCGGGTAAATAGCATGAATCTTCTATCCAGTGCTATCTATACTTAGGTACTTTATCATTTTTAGATTATTTACGTTTTAACGTCTAGTATAGATTTTTGGAGATGAGATTTTTTCCCGCAGTAAAAAATGTTCTAAAAAATATTTAATGTACAGAAAGATTCGACTCAGTTACAATTTTTTTATATGTATCTATAGATTACAAAGATGGAATTATACTATACTTGGTTTTTAGCATTGATTTATATCATACTTATAACAAATAGCGATATGTTATGATTCATAATATCCCACGCCTATAGTTATTTGCGTCTCGTCTAATGATAGTTCTTATTCGTATAAAAATAAAGCTTATTATTCAAAATAATATCATAATATCAAAAGATAACACGATCAATATAATGTTAGTAGTCTCTAGATTTTAGAATCTGGAAAGTTTATCTCACAAGAACTTCTTATTAAATGATTGATCATACTTAATATTATAAATGTGAAAGTGTGTTTGTTTGTTTGTACTTCTTTCACGTCAAAACGGAGTGACGGATTCGCGTGATTTTTTGTGTCGAGATATTTGGATTTTGGAGGGCTAGAGAGTGACATAGGCTACTTTTTACCGCAGGAGATTATCTTATTCCCACGGGAAAACACGCTATAATACAACCCAAAAAATATGTATGATAATGAAACTTGGTATTAATGCTCTTCAACACCATTAACTAAGTGTTTTAGCATTTTTTGAAATTCATCCCATATGAGGGTAAAATTTGGGATGAAAGTTTGTATGAAATCTACCTTTTTAGTGTTGTTTTTTGAAGTTTTAGCGCGGGCAAAGCCGCGGGTTTTGCTAGTAAGTTGTATAATAAGGAAGATAATATGTATCTATTTATCCTTACTTTATTAAATTTCAAATATCAATAAAAGTTTAATTTTAACATTATATTAAAAAATTTAAAATATAAACCAAATATTTTATTTTATTTTGTAAATTAGATATCAGACATATTAGATTTTCTAGAGGTTTTTTTAATTTTTTAAAATCTACAAAGTTTTTCATTTAAAAAAGCGGTCACATTTGAGAAACATATTTTTAAAATATATTTATATCTACGCTAAGGAGGCGTACGAAATAAATATTATTTATGTAGTTTTTTTTAATTCTATTAAGCTCCTATACTGTTTTTTTATAGAATAGAAAGTCAATATAACTGTTAAAGAAACCTATTTTATCTGTTGAATGTTAAAAGATATTGCATTACGCTAATAAAAATAGAGTCTTTGAACAAAATATTCCAGAAAAATCTACCCCTTGCTAAAACGGAACTGTATACAATAAATACAATAACTTTGTTTTACGACAGTATCCCTCACCCATCTTTTTTCAAGAGCAAGAATAGATTTGCTGGAAAGTTCGAGATTTGGATAACGATAAAAGAAAAATAGCTACCGAACTAATATGATTCATATATTCGGAATGAAAAAAATCAACTTTATTTTAGTTATTTAATTTGTAAATATTATATATATTATAAAATAGTAAGTCATAATTATATTAATCTATGCATATGAGTTATTAGGTTTAAAGAAAAATACGAAGTCCTTTTTTAAGAGGTGTTTTTTGTACCTGTACCCTACCTTATGTTTAATTTAACATTTAGGGCTTACCTTACACAGACTACAAATTTGGTTAAAATTATATCTTCAGCCAATAAAGTACATATAAAGAAAAAGTATCTACCAAAGTATACTAAATTAAAATGTAATGAATAAACTTTTGTGAATATTTATGAAGGTATTTTTGAATATTCAATCATATCTACGTATTACAGATTATTAGAAAAGGTAGTTAAAGATAAAACTTTAATTTTTATAATCCATTAAATACCTAAAAAGTACTTACTAGTGGTTTCACAATTTTTTTAATTTAATATTCTTTTTCATTAAACTATTTTGTCCTGTGCTAGTAAGTAGAGCTTTTAAAAAAACCGGACATAGATACCAAACCTCAACTTTTTTTAATTGAAAAAAGAATATTATATTACTTAAATATATCTTCTGCCATGATTAAGAAATTATTACTTAACAAATCGGATTAATCGTTAAGCTATGAAAACTTTACAAGATATGACAAATATAAATAGGTATAGCTAAAATATGCTGTACAGTGCAACTAAAGCAAAAACTAAAATTGTTTTTCTAAGGTTTTGTCAAAATTATTTTATTGATACCTATAACTGTTTACCAATAAAGAAATGTAAACAGTAATTACGTATTATGTAAAGCAGGAATATATAAGATATTGTTAAATGGTCAAATACTTAGCAAATGTTCTCCAATTTTCCATTCGAAAGGTCAAAGTCAATTAAATATGAATCTAGAAAATTCCAGGCTCTTCGTTTGTTACCATAAAAGTATAGAAACGTCAAACGATGAGCTTCGCGCCCTTTCGAACATAATATTGTAAAGTGTAAACAAGTCACAAACAGACAAACAGTTGCTATCTCTTTCTAATGCAGGTCACGTCACATCTAGAGCTTTCTTCAGTGTGACCAGAATATAATTAAAGTTTTCCTTATTTCTCTTTTACATATTTTTGATTACTTCATAAAAAATATCTTAACCATCTTCTATAATTCCATTTTAATTTAATAAGTGAATTGATAATTATAATACTATAGTAGTTTAAATAATGTCTTAGTACAATTTCATATCAAGATGATATTTTTTATCAAATTTGATGTCATATTTTTTGCCAAGACTACTCTAGACATTGTATGTTCATAAATTTACTTACAAACAATTATAACTAAAAAAATATGATAAACAAATCAATATAATAATATTTTAATATTTTATGTTTACTTCATATTTTTGCTTATTTACTACAGTTTTTCAGTCAATATTAAAAGTAATATTATTCGTAAATAGTATTCGAATATTATATTATTTGAAAATGTATTTATTATAAATACACTTCACTGAAGTAATAAATAAAGTACATTCCCTGCAAAAGTAGGAAATAATATAAGGCTGGCAATACTAATATGCGATGCAACATATTGGCATCTCGTTTTGCCGTGTTGCTATTGGTCGACAAAATGAACTTCCAGAACCTTCGATGAACGCTTTGATTTGATTGGATTTGGAGATCTAGTAACATGTAGATTGTTCGAGATCCCTATTCGTTTAATATATAAGCGGCCGACTTGGCGCGTAAAGTCATAATAATTTGAAATACGATACAGTGAAGACGTGAATTTTCGGTACGAACCGAAGCGAATAAATATCAAGTGTTTATTTATACGAGTGTTTATAAGGAAGTAAAATGCCAGCTATTGGAATTGATCTTGGCACCACATATTCCTGTGTCGGTGTCTGGCAACATGGAAATGTGGAAATCATCGCAAACGACCAAGGCAACCGCACAACACCTTCATACGTTGCTTTTACGGATACGGAGCGTTTGATCGGCGATGCGGCGAAGAACCAGGTGGCTCTGAATCCCAGCAACACAGTTTTTGACGCAAAAAGGCTGATCGGACGTAAATTCGACGACGAGAAAATCCAACAGGATATGAAACATTGGCCTTTTAAAGTTATCAATGACTGCGGCAAACCTAAAATCCAGGTCGAATTCAAAGGTGAGACGAAACGCTTTGCCCCCGAGGAGATCAGCAGCATGGTTTTGACGAAGATGAAGGAAACTGCGGAATCATATCTGGGCACAACTGTTCGGGACGCCGTCGTCACAGTTCCCGCTTACTTCAACGACTCCCAGAGGCAAGCGACGAAAGATGCCGGAGCTATCGCTGGTTTAAACGTTCTACGGATCATTAATGAACCTACGGCTGCTGCTTTGGCGTACGGTTTGGACAAGAACTTAAAAGGCGAGCGAAATGTATTGATCTTCGATCTCGGAGGAGGCACCTTTGACGTGTCTATTTTGACGATCGACGAAGGTTCTCTATTCGAAGTTAAGGCGACTGCTGGTGACACTCACCTTGGAGGCGAGGACTTCGATAACAGGCTAGTGAATCATCTCGCAGAGGAATTCCAGCGTAAATACAAAAAAGATTTGCGCTCGAACCCGCGCGCCTTACGACGCCTACGCACTGCCGCGGAACGCGCCAAGCGTACTTTATCATCTAGTACTGAGGCGAGTCTCGAAATTGATGCCCTATATGAAGGAATAGATTTCTACACACGAGTGTCGCGCGCACGGTTTGAAGAACTTAACTCTGATCTCTTCCGTGGAACTCTAGAACCAGTGGAAAAAGCTTTGAAAGATGCCAAGTTGGACAAGAGTCAAATACATGACGTCGTGCTTGTGGGTGGCTCAACTCGTATCCCGAAGGTACAGAATATGCTGCAGAACTTCTTTTGTGGCAAGAAGCTTAACCTTTCCATCAACCCTGATGAAGCCGTGGCATATGGAGCAGCTGTGCAGGCAGCTATCTTGAGTGGTGAGACCGACTCCAAGATCCAGGACGTGCTCCTGGTCGATGTGGCGCCACTGTCCCTGGGTATTGAAACAGCAGGCGGAGTTATGACAAAGATCATCGAACGTAACTGCAAAATCCCATGCAAGCAGTCGCAAACCTTCACTACATACTCCGACAACCAACCCGCCGTGACCATCCAAGTGTACGAAGGTGAGCGAGCCATGACCAAGGACAACAACTTGCTTGGGACGTTCGATCTCACTGGCATACCACCGGCGCCGCGAGGAGTCCCGAAGATCGACGTCACCTTTGATCTTGACGCGAACGGCATTCTCAACGTGTCGGCTAAGGAAAATAGCACCGGCCGTAGCAAGAACATCGTAATTAAGAACGACAAAGGCAGACTCTCTCAGGCCGATATTGACCGTATGTTGTCTGAAGCTGAGCGCTATAAGGAGGAGGATGAGAAGCAGCGACAGAGGGTGAACGCGAGGAACCAGCTCGAAACGTACATCTTCAGTGTACGTCAGGCTTTAGACGACGCGGGAACAAAATTGTCGGACGCGGACAAAAATAGTGCTAGAAGCGAATGTGATGAAGCGCTGCGTTGGCTGGACAACAACTCTTTGGCTGAGAAAGAGGAGTATGAGCACAAACTTAAAGAGATCCAACGCGTGTGCTCTCCGATCATGAGCAAGCTTCACGGGGCTGGCGGCCCCACCCCCAACCCTGGGGCACACCCCAACGGACCCACCGTCGAAGAAGTGGATTAATTTAATAATTTTTCAGTTACCAATCTTTAGTTTACATCAACCAGTATTATTGTGATAGAACGTGATAAGACTGATAATTTATGATCATCTGCGTAATTTAGTTTACTTCAATAGTAAGTTTCATCTGTTGGATTAAATAAATTTAATTTATTTTTAAATATGTCTTTGTTTTATTTAATAAGAGGATTTAAAACACGAGTAGCTTTTGACACTATTCCAGGGATATATTTATTTCTAAAAGAACGATATTTTATTGTATGAATCACGTTTATTTCACATCATTCTACACTGGTTTTTATTATATTAAACTTATTAAAAAACAGAACAAATTACCTTTTACATCAACTTCCATATTAGCCATAGAGTATATTTCTTACACCATAAACAACCTTTTTTTTATTTTTCCTAATAAATCAAAGACATTATTCCTTACTCTAACAGACACGACAACTTTCAATTTTTTAATACAAAATAATCATAAAACGTAATATATACAAATTAACAGAACATCACTGTAATAATACAATTATTTGAACACACCGTAGGTCAGTTAAAATTAACATATATGTATTGTTTATGGACTAAGATCCCGTTGCAAGTTACTACGTTCATGGCGTATTTAATTGAAATCAATTTTTTATATCTATACTTATTATAAAAATAAGTCCCCCGGCCGCGTCTTTCTGTCCTCCTGTCTGTCCTCCTGTCTGTCTGTACGCGATAAACTCGAAAACTACTGAACGGATTTTTATACGGTTTTCAACAATAGAAAGAGTAATTCTTGAGGAAGGTTTAGGTATATAATTTATTATGCTTTTATGTAAATTAGCTGAAATACGGCGACAAATGTTGAAGAGGTCGCAAAAAATCTCGCCAAATGGGAACTTTCCACGCGAACGCCGCGTAAACTAGCAAAGATACAGTTAAGTAATGTACTAGAGAATTCAAAATCTATAAAAATGCTACAAAAAAGTCCGCGATAGCATATCTCTATCTCTTACGGTTGACTTACAATAACCACTTTTATGTTAACATTTTTAATTAAAAACATTACGTTATTTTCAAAGTTATTTTCTTTAGTTCGGTATTAATCCTTAACCAAATGAATATTTTAGTTAGCTTAGTCATTTAATGCAGATTAAAATTGCTCTTTACACTAAATCAATCAGATGAATAGTTTTTGAGATATCGTTGTTAGAAGTAATTAGTAGCGAAACATTTTTAATGCTTGGCGAGCATTGAGATGCCTACGGCGAGTCCATCCCCTCTGCCCCGCATCGCTCGACCGCCTGCTCAAGCTATATAAACCGGGCGATGTAGCGCGCGATCCTAGGATACTTTTTACCGCGGGAAAATATCTTATTTCTGAGGAAAAATACAAAAACTGCAATGTAAGAGTATACTAATATGTAACACCTAAGAATTTAGTTTTTGGTCATCTGAACGCGGGCGGAGCCGCGGGCAATGCTAGTACAATAATAAAAGGGACAATATGTTTTGACCGGGGTGCCTATTCAAATGTGCCCGCTAGTATGTTTAATTAATTAAATAATTGTTGACTTTTTGGAACAAAAACCATGGCAAAGATAGATTAAAGTGAAAGAGTACTTTTAGTACACTTTAAACTTACGCACAACACAGTCATTTTTAAACACAACAACCTGCGTTATGCGTTGTATGTCACGTTTTTAAATTTGTCTTCAGTCAGGTAGAACTTAAGTTAATGGAGTAGTCGTAGTTATATTTATTTTATGTTTGAATATACATATTTTATTAATCTAATAATTACTATGATGTGTGATTTTTTATCGTTAATATAAATAATAATTAAAAAAATATTTTAATGAATAAAATAAAACTCAATAGTGCACTTATTTTTTACACCCAAATATTTTAACAATAAATTATATGTTATTGCTTACAAATCAACCTTCTTTTCCTCTTGAAGCGTTCAAATATTAAAGAATATATAGTATTAAATCCGATGAAAAAGTACAGTTGTCTTTTGAGCTTTTTGTAAACGAACATCAAAAAGTTTTTCAATTATACCTATTACATTAATTAGGTGACTAAATATAGCAAGTTGTTGAGGTGAATGTATTAATACTGTTGTAAGATTTCCTCAGTCTTTTAGCATATATTAAAAATATCTTAATTAGTAGGTATAATTAACATATTCCATCAAAATCACGTAAATCGATAAGTTTTTGAAACCATAATTTATTATTACCTTTGCAGGTATCACATTTAATCGTCATACATACATGTAATAAAGTAGCCGATCGCTGTCTGTACATGGAAGATATTTGAAAAAAACTATTATTTGATTTTACTATGATTCGTCGAACTTTTGTCTGTTTGTCTGTGCGTTTGTGCGCGCTAATCTCAGAAACGGCTTGACCGATTTAGATTTTCCCTTTTTACTCATATTTTGGGTGGTAAGCTTTACTTAACATTTAGTATTTGTTTTGAATTGACATAATTTCTTTATTTATATTCCGATTGAAATAATCGATCTCTGAAACTGCTGGACTGATTTTGACGGGAGTTTCACAGTGAAACTCCCGTCTCTCTTATAACATGAGCTATCTGCCAGTGAAACTTTCACTGGCAGATAGCTCATGTTATAAGGAGTAACCTAGACTACTTTCATTTTAGAAAAAAAAAATAGGGTTCCGCTCAAAAATATTAAAACGTATCTAGGGACGCAATTAAATCGCTAGTAGTGGAGAAAAATGTAAATGTCCCGAAACCTCTACATGCTATACTTATATACTACCTACGTTTTAAATTAAAATGGATATAGTATGTTATCCTTAAGAGATAGACATATGCCATCGCGGACTTTTCTGTAGACCTATATAAGATACACAATTCCACCATACATTATTTTGTTATATCTCAAAGGGTTTAGGCAGCGTTTTCGTTGAAAGCTCCCAAACGTTTTATTTTTTCCGACACCTCCAACAAATATCGTTATATTTTAGCCAATGTATACAAAAACTTAACAAATTATATACTAAAACCTTCCTCTTGAATCACTCTATCAATTAAAAAAACCGCATCAAAATCTGATGCGTAGTTTTAAAGATTTAAGCATACATAGGGATATAGGGACAGAGAAAGCGACTTTGTTTTATACTATGTAGTGATGATACTACTACTCCAGGCATATCTTCTTTATTGGTAAACTTTTTACAATACTACAATCAAAATTACCCGTTTTGTTCGCACACAATAACATGTGTTGGTTCTTGATATAAATTCGAATCTAATTTTAATTTTTTTCTTAAAATTTTTAAAGCGCTCTTTAACACAGCATTCCTTTTTATTAATCTAGAATTCTTTTTCCTCAAGTTACTGATGATATTATTTTTGACTTTCAATCTTCTGCGGCATTTCTCCAGCTCCATTTCTAATAGTGCTTCTTCAGGTGTATTCAAAACGGAACTTATGCTTAAAGAAGTAGTAGTAGGCTTGTATCCCTCAATATTTGGTAAATTTAATGTTACAGTCTCACAGCTAGCTTGAGTGACGCCGCTATTGCCCTGCGTGTCAGTCTGCTAACAATATCAACATGATAAGTTAATCAATAATTATCAATATACTAAATAATAAAAGAAAGTGTACAATGTACGTGCCGCTAAAACTCAGGAGTCTCGGTACGATCAATGGAGTTATATGTGTGGTGTGCCGTGTGATAGCCCTCTATCCATGAAGAAGGTTCCCTTTTTTACCTAAAGGCATGTTTTTGAAGAAATAAGGAGTTTTCACCCTCTAGACATTTCTAGATCAGTCCAGAACATTGGAGAGCATTCGAGAGCATTCTAGAACACTCTCGAATGTTGTGGAATGTTCTGGAACACTGTGGACCATTCAAACTTTTTTTGCATGGGTGGAGCGGGGCTACCCATTGACAGAGGCTTCGATCAACAGTAGTATTGTTGATCGAAGGACAGGAGTATATAAAGCAATGTCCGTCGTGGGTTCGAACTTAAAACATTGCGGCATCAACCTCAAAGACTCCTGCTTTTCTCACGGTCAACTATAATGTACTATTTAACTATAAGTACGCATCTTGTTTTCGAGTAGGAAATTAGAAAAATGTTGTTTATAAACAAGTATTGTAAATAGAATATGTATTTCAATTAAAAAAAAACTTTATATAGCCCATGCTCAGAAGTGGGACGTTAAAATAGGCTGAAAACAGACATTCATAGGATACCTAGTTATAGCAACAAAAAAATTACATACTGGTACAAGAGGAACGGCCTTCTTGAGCAGACGGACTCTGCCTTTTTCTGTAATGTACATATCTTTTTCAGAAAAATGTTCCGAACAAACTACGTTTGATCTGTTCGGCTTAAAGAAAACTCCTTGTCTTGATCGCCTGACGGCTGATATCCATTCTTTACATCGGATTGGGTCACGGGGAAAACTAAAACATAAAAATATTACTAAAAAATCTATCCTTATCTATCACAAAACCTCCTTTGTCAAAAAATGTCAATATGCATATACACTCCGCGACAAAAGTATAACCCACCCCCCTAATTTTGTAATATCCAATGTAAGACTAATTTATCTTGATATATTACTATTGCATTAATATTTTTTATTTGTTTGTAGTATTATAATATGTGTTCAATTACATTCTAAGTTGTTTTCTTATATTACGGCGTGATTGTTAGTTTGATAGTGCGACAAAAGTATAACCCATAACTTACTTTGGCTTGAACAGCTTCATGTTTTAGACGTGTCAGTTCCTTTTTATACTTGTTCTGCGTTCCTCGTAAATTATTACGTACTAGAAAATTATTTCGATTGATATTTATTTATTTCTAAAATAAAAGGCCACGTGGGAAACGTTTCAACGAAAGTGGAATTAATTTAGTTAGGAAATTGTATTCTAAAAATTGTTCGAAAGTTAGAATTGCAAAATTTATCAATAGAAGTCATCGTGTTGTACGTAATTTTCTAAAAGATTCTGAAAATTATGGCAAAAGAAAGAGGACTGGTCGACCAAGGGCAACAACACCACCTGAAAGAAGGTCAATTCTGAGAGTCGCTCCTAATTTTGCTCTTACACCAAGACAAGTCGCAGTGGAGGCTGCTGTTAGCACTAATTTAAGGAAATGTCAAAGTATTATACATGGGTGTCGATACTTAAACGTAAGAAATTACAAAGAAAACGACTGGTTAAACATAACTTAGATAGATCTAAATTTGACTGGATAAACATAAATTAGATAGATGTAAATTTTGCAAAAGACCATGTTCAATGGAAGAAGAATTGGAAAAATGTTATTTTCACTGATGAAAATAAGTTTAATTTAGATGAGCCTGATGGTTTTAATTACTATTTTCACGATTTAAGAAAAGAAAAATGTGTATTGATTTGACGACAAGCCGGGGGTGGTAGTGCAATGATATGGTGTGGAATTGGTTACTTAGTAAAAATGAATATACTGGAAAATTGAATAGTAAACGGTTTCATAAACATAATTAATGAAGAGATTACTTCTCATGTAATGCGAATTGCTGGTCCTAATTTTATAGTTTTAGCACGATAATGTCAGTATTCACCGTGCACAAATAGTTAAAAACTATTTTACTGAAACAAATAATCAAGTTCTTGAAGGGCCAGCTTATTCTCCTGGCTTAAATATAATTGAAATTATTGGGGAAACTTATCACGAGCTGTCTATTGAGGATCAAAACAATTTACCACTGTTGAAGAGTTAAAAACGGTAATAATTGACGAATGGCAAAACATGAATCAAAACAATTTAAAAAGTTATATGACAGATTACACCAGATCGAATGATTGAAGTAATACGTAAAAGTGATGGATCTACTAAATCGATATTGAAATGATCGAAGTACTAAATATTAAATTAAATAAATAATCGCTCTTTGTTGCATTTCTCTTGAGTTTTATTTATATTTAATTTACCTGGGTTATACTTTTGTCGCACCGCAAAATTTATGTATCATCTGTATTTGGTTAATTTTGCATTTAACAAATAATACATTGGTTGTAAAATATACTTACCAATACCTAATTTTGTGTATTAGTAATGTATTAATATAACTATAATTTTATATTGGATATTATAAAATTAGGGGGTGGGTTATACTTTTGTCGCGGAGTGTATGTCATTCATTTTTTGTTTTCGTACGTACGAAAATAAGTATTGTAGCAGTTTTATAGTTTTCGTATCTCTTCAATTTTCATATACCAGATACTGATTGATATTGATTGCTTAATGAAAAACGGTTGCTTGAACATTGGACACCGTAACCACTACTACGAAATTGATATTGATTTCTCATTAAAATCGGATAATTTCAATGTCGATTGAATTTAATTTTCTTGTTAATGGCTTTAAACTGTCGATGGTAATTATTAAGCTACCTACATTTTTAGACACGTCAATTAGAACTGTTAAAGTATATTTCTCTATATTTGATGGAATATACCATATATACGTCATATAATAAAATAGTAATGAAATCAAGACGGGAAATATTGAATCAAAACAATGGTCATTAAATTTTTTATCTGTTTGTCTATTTCTGTATGCGAGTTTCACATACCTATAGGTACCGGCTGAATTGATTTTAACTAAATTTTGTATAGTGATAACTATACTTTTTACTCGAGTCAACTTTTTAGTCGAGTCAACTTTTTAGTCGAGTTGTCCTTAGAAATTTAACATGGCTAACGCAGGTTAAACGGCGAGATACTCGTACATCAAAACAATGTACAACAAAATTGTAGGTTTTAAAAAGGCTTACAGAAAAATCTGCAATAGCACAAGATATACGTCTTTCTCCAAAAGTTTAAGGTACCTACACATGTACACATTTATAAAAAAAACTATTTTATCTAACATGTATTTTAAACGTACCTAGGGACGCACCAGAGCGAAGCGAGGGTAAGTCGCTAGGTTATAGATACAATTATAGGTAGGTACCTAGTCTCGATTTTTAATTCCACGAAAATATGACATCTATCATTCTTTGACAATTCACATATCATAAACCTTTTCTGCTTTGTATTTTTTTAATATAAAATAACAAAAAATGTGAAACAGAATTAGATCAAGTAAACTATATGTATGACATTGTAAATAGTCTTTATTTTGTGCAATCAATACACGCTAACTATAATGTAAATTTTTAATGGTTAAATGAATAAAACAGAGTAAAACAAAATATTTTACAAACAAAGAGGTTTTACTAAAAAAGGCTTGCTACCTATGGATTATTGGACAGGGATTCCTGTAATAGAAAAATAATTTCCTTAATAATTATGTAACTTCAATAATATGATAATAAAAAAATAATTACCATTTTAGAATTATCAATAATTTTTTAAGTCTTAGTTTTTCTAATTGAAACCTTAACTTCAAGAAAGGTTTATTTTTTTATTTTGCTAAAATGCTTTCCGTTTTTAGTGACAATGTTTTAAAGTTACAACACTTCTGAAATGTCAGAATTCCGTCGAATTAAAAATCAGACTATAGGTACAGATTTCCTTACAAATCTCTCTTCAAAAAGTGGCGTCGATATGTGACGTTAAGTTAACCAAATAATAAAATTTAAAAGTTCATACACAGAAATTCGACCTTACACACACCACATAAAGTACTTTTTTAAACAAAACAACGTAAGTTTTAATTTTGTCATCCAAAAAGCAATGAACAAAAGAGAATTGAAAAAAGCGCAATCCAATATCAAATTCTGCAATTCTTTTTCTTTTTTTGAGGACACTTTTGAGACGCTAATTGTGTATCTTGAGTTTTTGTATATCTATGGACTATAGTCAACTAAGTAAGAGTAGTAGGACATCGTAATACGTGGTCTTATACCAAATAAGTGAATATTAAAATTTGCAGTGTTATTTTCGACACATAAGTGAAGTAAAAACACATTAAATAATTTTCTTTCTCTTTAATCATAAATACAATTAAAATATATTAACTAACAGCTTACTTACCGAAAGTACGATATTCCGTCAGATTTTAACGTTCTCGATGTTATATTTTTACAATTTCCTAACGAACACTTCGGCATGGTGCACGTCCACTCGGTAGCTTTAACAATTCGACACTGTAAAAGAGCGCACAATTTGCATTTGTGCGCTCGTTTCTTATGAACATTTTTGAGACACTTCGAGTGTGTATCCTGGGTTTTCCATATGAATGTATAAAGCTCTAAAATTAGTATTCGATTTTTTACTTATACTCCATAGGTTTAGGTACCTTTTTTGTTTTTTTTAACGTTGGGAAATGCATTTACGCACGTCGTGTGGGACTCACCGGCGTAATACAGCCAGTACTACCCACTAAAACCCAACAAAACCTTCCCCTGTCTTAATGGGGCGTCGCAGGATCGCTTACGCATTCAACTACGACGCCCCGACGGCAGGTCTGCCGAAACAGACCACCACAACCATGGGGTTGCTCCAAGGTCCACTCTGCTATCAGAGAAGTACCAGGAGCAACCCGCATGGTACACCGTCCCCCAAAGAGGGCCACCTCCCACCGCCCACCGAAGTGGGCAACCTCCCTGTGCGTTTCTTAGCTTCGCGCCCGGTTGGATTGCCGGGCACTACTGAGCCCCCCCACCACGACAAGGTGAACGCACGTTGGGGGGGATAGGTACCTAGTTAACCAGGCTCAGAACTCAGATCTACATAAAGGCTTTTTGAGCTTTAGCCTTAGCCCCGTGGATAACGGGGCCCTAGCCCACAACGCAGACAAAGGACAATAATGTGATTTTATAAAATAAAAATCAATTTAAAGTTTTGCAGATTCCTATCATAAGGTTGGTGACTCTGATTGTGAGATCAATCTAATTATAAGATTGGTAGATTGATTTGACGGTTAACTTTTTAATGCGAACTTTTTAAAACCACCATACCACGGTAATGTTATATGTAACATTACCGTGACCATACTATACATGGCACTATGCCTATAGTTGCATATAGATAGGAGATAAAAAAATTAAAATAGAATCAGTCAAAATTTAATAATAAAAAACAGCCGCGTTAATTGAAAGGGCGATTCCCCGTCGCCTGTTCTTGATGTAGTTTCTGACAAACAGTTAGTTACATACTGATAGACTGACTGCGTTTGCGATGATCCAGTTCTTGTCGCACTCCTTAATGCCCGTGGTTATATAGTGACAAACTGACTATTTTATTTTTTATAGTGCACTGCACTTAGTTTACTTGTAAGTCATAACTTAAACGTTATAATATATTCTTTACACTTTCCCTTACTTCTTTCCTTTAATTAGAAATAAGAATATTTTACTAATCAGTAAATAATACTAATAATACTTAGCTAAGATTAGCTAAGCTTAGTTAAAGGTAGTATATATAGTATATAACTTATCCACATACAAGATAATAAATAATTTAAGAGTTGGCAGGTAATAATTTCTGACAAGAATGTTTTCGTGTTATTACGAGACTATCGATAGACTCTTCGCTTCGCGCGGGTACGTCCCTAGGTAAGTTTTAAATAGATAAAAATAGTTATTGTGAGCGTACCTTAGGAGATCGACATATACTATCGCGGACTTTTCTATAGGCCTTTTTGAGACCTACAATTTTCTAGTACATTGTTTTGATGTATCTCCAAAGGTTTAGCCACCGTTAGTAATGTAAGCGCCCAAAATATGTTTTTTTTGTGACATCACCGCTAATCTTTGAAATTCTCCGCTTTTTGTTATACATATAAACCTTCCGGACGAAATTCTCTAAATAATAGTGGAAACCACATCAAAATCCCTTCCGTGGTTTAGAAGTTGGCGGAGATACACACAGACAAAAATAGCAACTTGGCTTTATACTATAAATTTTCATAAATTAATTGATAACGTATTAAAATGATTTCCCCATATTTCCGTCGTTGCTTACTGCAAGCTATTGTATTGTATCCCATTTGTACTTACATAACTTATTAATGTCTTGTGGTCATGTCATATACCTACTTGTATAATATGCCCTCCACGACCGCGGACACGCCGGCGTGTCAGTTAACAATAGATTTCTTAGAATTTTAATTAATTTCTTAGAAATTTACCTGGAGGTGATATTTTATACAATAATTTATAAAACATTAATTTACTGCCTTTTTTTCTTTAAATCAGGGTCGATATGATTTGCCAGGGGTCGACATAAACGAAAGCGCTAAGTTTTTAAATTGGTAAGTATTTTCTATCAATAGAAAAAAACATAGAAATAGGAAGTCATTTGGCTATGGGGGGTCTGAGGTATCAGTTCATTTTGGAAAAGGGGTTTCTTGCCCAAAATAGTTTGGGAATCTCTGATTTAATTCATTATAAAAATTAAAATATTCGCGCATATTTGTCTCAAAGGTTAACCCTAGTTTTATTGGGAATAATAAATAATACAAGAAAATATTGCGTGCATGTACGTGCGTGTGAGCTGTTTGAAAGTTTTTCGAGAAAATGGTAATCAGTAATCGATTAGATACGCCTCAAGTGGTGTTAGCCCAGGGCCCCCCAAAATCAAGGTCCAACCCTGTAGTTAACTAAAGGTAAAATCATAATAAAACCTTCTTTTAGATGGCCTTGTGAAATTTATTGTGATCAAAATAAATGATTTTATAATTTAAACTTACTCTCGCTTCGCTCGGGTGCGTCCCTAGGTGCGACTAATTCCGTAATATGTACATGTTTACATAATAATTCGAATCTTGAGTAATTTTTAAGGGTTATCGATTTTTGCGCTGGAACCCTAAATATTTCACGAATAAAACATACCTATATGGTCTAAGTATTTAGTGCTATGAATAATATGTATAGACTACATTTTCTTCTTTTATTCTTGTACAATGAATAATATTATGTAAGTATAAACTATTATTATTATATATATAAAAATGAATCCCTATTTCCCTTGGTCACGCCATCACGCGTGAACGGCTGGACCGATTTAACAAACTTTTTTTGTTGTGTTTGTTATTGTCAGGAGAAGGTTCTTATGATCTTTCATTCACTTCTTAGTTTAAAAAATTGCGCAGAAAATTATTATAAAATTTACAACCATATTAAAATTTATATGTCTAATGCTGGGTGATAACTATTTATATATATTTAAAACGTACCTAGCGACGAACCCGAGTGAAGCGAGGGTGAGCCGTTAGTGTAATTATAAATATTAATTTATTCGCCTGAAAAAATTAATTAGTTAGTTTATTTCTCTCAACTGTGTACAGTTTTATGAAAGAACTAACTACGACTACGTTTTAATGGACACTAGGTAGAGTTGATTACTTGCTCTGGAAAAATAAAAACAAATCTATCCCACTGAAAAACTGTACATTTTTTTGGGATAGAACCCTAAACCTGTGCTATTCCACACTATAATCTATCTCTGTGCCCATCCAGATCCGTTCAGTCGTTCTGGGGTTTTTGAGTAACAAACATCAATCCAAACTTTCACTTTTATAATATTCATTATTATAATGGGATTTAGCTTAGAATTAGGTGATATTTACTTAGCCAAATTAGAAAAAAGATTTTAACTTAAAACTTAACAAAAATGTAGAGCCACCTATAGATAAAACTATGGAAAATGTTAACAATGATGACAGTTTGACAGAGTAACATAGAAATGAATATTTAAATAATTTAAAGAGAATGGAATTAATATAAATATCTTTATAGACAAAGCAAACAATGTGAAAGAAATGTATTATTTAGACCACATAAGTAAATTATAACAATAACATCTCTTTATATAACAAAATTTTCACTAATAATTTGTATATGTAATGAAATTAATAGTGTACGAAATCATATATACAATATTGGCCATCATATAAATATTATAAATATAATAGGCCTTAAAATCAAAATCTTAAATAAGCCTTAAAAAACTATAGATTTTCATGTATGCATAAATAATCAATATCAAAACATACATTTTCAATAAAGTAGGTAAAGATATCAATATAATATAAAAAATATTATAATGAGGTTAGTTAGAGGTATAGGGTTATTAGTTATAGAGGTAGTAGGTTTTCTAATTAATGTAATAAACTATGTTTCAGTTCCATCAAATTTAGTATATCAAAGTTTTGTTGAGGCAAGAGTGCTTATTTTTCATTTTGAAATGGCCACATAATTTTATTTAGAGATGTGGAAAGTGCTACTTTACCAAAGCTGGAGAGATTGTTGAAGCATAATGCACATTACCACAATAACAAAAAAAAACAAAAACAAATACATGGCTACATAAAGGCTCATCACTAGTGCAACCTCTTGTATGGATTGGTGGCATCATTTTATAAAATTTATAAATACCAACTTTATACTTAAAAATGTAAAATAACTTAATATAGCAGTAACATTTGTATATGACCTAGGAAGTGGTAAGTAACTCTATGTAAGCTTGTTAGTAAAATAAAATAGTATTTATCAAAAAAAACTGATATAAAGAAATAACAATATCTCTGGTATGTTAAGGTTAACGAGTTGGTTTATATTTAAAAAGACTTGTTACATAATGTTCTAGTTATGATATAAGTTTCATTACTGGCGAAAGTAAAAAAAAAATGATTAATAAAAGTTGCATACCCTTTAATTGTGAAAAAAGTACGTGTAAATCAATTTTGGTGATATTTAGATTGTGATTATAGATGAGATCAATGAACAAATGATAAAAAAAAGCAGTTATTATATATTATTGACAATTCTTCTGAAAATGTTTGTAAAAAATGGTTTATGTATCCATGAGTTCTTTGTTTACCTTTACTTACTAACTAAACCTATGGAATAGGTATGTACATTCTGTTTCCTTCAATTTTTTACTTATGTACTTTTCGTCCAAACAAGATGTTGAATAGATATTGGAACTCTAATTACAATATTATAATACAATATAATAAAGGAGCGTTAACTAAAGTCTATTCAAAAATTCGAAATACCTACCTATCTTTAAATTTATTTTTATTTATCTCGGAAATTGTCAAAACTCAATAGTCAAAACTACCCTGTTTTTTTTTAATGACTTATGAAGTTATGATGACGGTTGT